TGTACCATTGACGAACGCACCGGACTCGAAGTCCCTTCTCAATCACAACCGAATCAGGACATTGACGCGCACGCTGAGGAGGACAAGGAGAAAGGGAACGGATTCGTCAAGCCTGTTGCAATCCTAGGAAAACTGACGCCCCTGCCTGGATCCATCCTTGATCAGCCAATCCGACTAGAGTCACGGATGACATCCTGGGGTCGAGGAACACAAGCGACCATCCGCCATCCAGACTCTATGGACTTTCGAATTCCTTCGTATGCTCTTGAATTGACCTTCTGGGCACCATCAATCGAAGCTCGAATCGCTGCTGGAGAGGATTGGCTACAAATGACTGACGTTGTGACGCTGATATCCACAAAGACCAGCCAGTGTATATGGGTCAATGATGTTGAGCTACGCAAGGAATCCCGGAGCAAAGACGCATTCTTGTTCGGGAGGATATATACCGGCGACATCATCACAGTGTATAGAAGCAAGGACCAGTTTCTACGCTTCCGGTGCGAATTCTACCACGGAAAGAGCCGGTTGGAAAGGCCCGCAGGCGAGAAACGGTTCTTGATAGAAGAATCGCCAAAGTCCTACTGCAATACTAGAACAGAAGGCAACCCGGCATCCAAATCAGAGCGGTCACCTGTAGAGGCGTCAGCCTGAAGCAACAGCCCTATCATCAAAAGCGCTGTCGCATGTGATATGTCTGCATGAGCGGCCATCTGGAAGATTTCTTTTTGCCATCTAGTGTCTCTACTCAATTATGTCACTGTCCTGTCCATCCCATTCCAGTCTGATATCTGTTTTATATTCACCTACCCATTCACCAAATAATTCCAGCCACCATACACTGAAAGCACCTTGACAGCCATCCCAACGCAAATGTGAAGACACTTCAGAAGATAATTAAATAAAAATATCAAGCATAACTCATAAATAAACTATGAGGCTATGGCTTCTGCAGAGATCAACACTCTTATATCTTCCGCTAGCTTTAAAAATCGTCTCGAATGCGCCTCTAGCCAATTAAGGTAACTTAAGTTCAACAACGACTCCAAGCCAAACAAAACTTTCTTCCAACGACATCCACCACTCGACCAGCCATCAGACGCATCACAATCTCTCTCAACAGTTGCTCTTTGCTCCGTTTTTCCCATTAAAACAAGCAAAGACGCAGTTCGATCGATGGAGCGGTGAATTCCTTCATAAGCACGATGTGCCGGTACAATATGGCGGCGGCGATATAACTCTTACATTATTGATTGACCACTCGAGGTCCGAAAATCGGCATTATTCGTGGGAATAAATACGAAATAAGGCGGAATTGACAGATTGGATCCAAACGGTCATGCAAATAATCTCGTCTATTATTACGCGCAGAGTGCTGTGCCACCAGCGTTGAGATGCGTCTCCTGGTATTGCCCATCCCTGCGCCGTGAGCAGACCTTGTATTGAACCACGGCAGATATTCCATCCAAGGGATACGAGAAATGTGACATAACGGCAACCAACCACGACCAGGCCTCGGAATAACGGCAAAAGGCGCAGTGAGCTTACCTCGGGCGTCGGACAAGAAGGAATTCTGGGTACGAGAGCATTCGGAGCTTCCACGTAAGTTATCGAGGCCAGTGCTTATCCGTCACTGGACGAACACCTGCAGGTTTAAAGCTATAACTAACGACAGGTGACGGAGTTTGAAGACAATAGAGGAGCTGTATCTGAATTCGCGAGCAGCAACTCCGGACTTGGAATTCGGAGTAGAAAACTCCAGATTACTAGTTATGCACCTCTGCTAACTGGCTCGTTTGTTGGTATGCGGACACCCCCGTATACCAAGCTTCTAGAGTACTTTGCACCCCCACAATTTTCCCCGTGGAGAGCCAGCCGATGATCACGAATATGACAGGGTTGCACAAGTGACATTTTGCCTGCTGGGGCAGGGATGCGGCTTGCTTTGGTGATGCTTGATTCGGTCCAGGTTAAGCTGGCGAATCCACCCGGTTATACCGTCCATTGGAGATACGAAGAAGAAAAGGGAAAATGCAATAATCATCACCCATCCCATCGCAGGATGCGGGGAGGCTAAACTAGAAAGACGAGATGCGGGCATCCGTGGGAGGGGTGAACCATGGAAATTGATGTCCACTTATCCCGAATTTCTCTTTGAGTTGATATCATAGAGACTTATAATAAGGACCCTGGGGCCCTGCCTTTTGTCCCTTTTTCGTTTTTCACTCTTGTGCTCCCTAATTTCAGTTGTGCGTTTTTCCTTTCCCTCGGGTGAAACGCATAACTACTGGCAGTTTAAGATGATCGTGAAATCCTTATCGCTGCTGGCATTGGCTGCTGCCACAGTGGAAGGTTGTGTACGCGAGCGAGATGTCGGTTCAGTCGATATTCTGAGTGTGCTCTCGAAACGAGGACATGGACACCCCCATCTGCCGCACTTGTCCAAGTACGAGTCTATGTTGATTAACAGTTTCGACAACACCACGGTCGACAGCTGGGCCTACTACTATACTCATGGAATTCACATCGCTGGAACCAATCAGAGCATGGCGCAATGGACTGCCGATAAATGGACAGAATTCGGCATTCCTTCGTCTCTTGTCTCGTATGACGTATACCTGAACTACCCAGTTTCGCATTCACTGTCATTGACGCACCCTGACGGTACGACCTGGGAGGCTTCTCTGGTGGAAGACGTTCTTAAGGAAGACGACACAACAAGCTACCCGGACCGCATACCGACATTCCATGGCTACTCTGCCTCCGGCGAGGCCACTGCTGAGTATGTTTACGTCGGACGTGGACAAAAGGTTGATTTCGAGAGGCTCATCCAGTTGGGAGTGGACTTGAAGGGAAAGATCGCAATTGCACGATATGGCGGTCCATTCCGGTAAGATTCCCTTAATTGTATAATTATACGCTGAAGGATTTGTGCCTATCTATACTAATACGATTGATTAGAGGTTTGAAAGTCAAAAATGCACAAGATCAGGGGATGATCGGCTGCATCATCTTCACTGATCCTGCGGATGACGGCAATGTGACAGTTGCAAACGGCCTGAAGGCATATCCAAACGGTCCTGCTAGAAATCCAAGCGCGGTCCAGCGTGGATCTGTCCAGTTCCTTTCTATGTTCCCGGGTGACCCAACCACTCCCGGATACCCTTCTCGACCGGACTCTCCACGAAAGGACAAGAGCCCGGTTGTACCAAAGATCCCGTCGATCCCAATCTCACAGCTGGATGCTCAACCCATCCTCGCTGCACTCGACGGCCACGGAACTCCAGGAAAGGAAGTTAACCGCACCAGATGGGTTGGTGCTCTTAATGCGACATATGCTACTGGTCCTGCGCCTGGAGCCAAGCTTTCGATGAGCAATGTGATGCATGATACTTATACCCCTATTTGGAACTCAATTGGTATCATCAACGGCACGGAGCAGGATGAGGTGGTTATCATTGGAAACCACCGCGATGCTTGGATTATTGGAGGAGCCGGGGACCCCAACTCTGGCTCTTCCATTATGGTCGAGCTTGCAAAGGCGTTTGGAAAGCTCCAGAAGGCCGGCTGGAAACCCAAGAGAACCATGTATGTTTGTGCCCTTGATTGAGAATTGTCCTGACGCAATTGCTGCTAATATTATTGCATAGTGTGATGTGTTCTTGGGATGCGGAGGAGTACGGACTCGTTGGCTCCACCGAATGGGTCGAAGAATACGTATGTTTTTCAAATAACTAACTATTAAGAGAAAAAAATAAGCCGACTGGTACTGACTGTTATGTATGTAGCTGCCATGGCTCAAGGCATCGACGGTTGCGTACCTCAATATCGACGTTGCCGTCTCTGGTCCGGTGCCTGACCTCAGTGCTACTCCCGAGCTGCACAAGCTGGCCCTAGAGTCTATGAAGAAGGTTATCTGGCCGTACAAGGGCCGCCAGGACACCACCATGTACGATGTCTGGAACACTGCTTCTGGCGGCGAAGTTGGTGTCCTTGGAAGTGGCTCTGACTACACCGCTTTCGTCCACAACGGCATAGCATCGGTAAGTTGCCTAATTTTCGGATGCAACGTAACTAGTATACCTTTGGAGCTAACTAGTCAAACGCGATGTAGCTTGATACTGGCGCGGGAGGAGACGGTAACACAGATCCGGTCTACCACTATCACTCGAACTATGACTCGTACCACTGGATGGCCACCTATGGCGACCCGGGCTTCCACACGCACGTTGCCATGGGCCAGTTCCTGGGCCTGCTGGGCTACCATCTAGCCACTGACGACATCATCCCGTTTGATGTGACTAACTATGGCGTGCAGATGACGAAGTACCTGGACGTGCTGAAGAAGTACATCGCAGCATCCAAGTTCCCTGATCTGGACGTGAGCAAGATCGAGAGCGCCATCTGCTCGTTCAATGTCTCTGCCAATGCTGTTGCGAAACTGCAGAAGAAAGCCGAGCACAACGTCCATGACCAGCAGCTGAGGAAGCACCTCAACACCATCTACCGCGACTTTGGCCGTGGCTTTGTCTCGCAAGGTGGCCTTCCAGACCGCGAGTTCTACAGACACATGCTGTATGCTCCGGGACTTGACACTGGGTGAGTGCTTACCCCCTTTTAAACGTAGGACAAATTCAAGTGCAGCCCCTCTAACTGTCGGGCAGATACGCACCAACGACCTTCCCTGGCGTGACGGAGTCTCTTGATGCCGGCAACCGGACAAGAGCCGTGGAGTATATCGAGCGGGCGAGCAATGCCATCTATGTAGCTGCTGGCATCCTGTCGTCCTGCCATGACTGCAACCAGTTTGTCGCCCAGGAGTAGTAGTCGTACATAGAGTAGCCATACCCGTCAATATATCTTTTACTTGTTACTCCGTGCCTGTTACTCCATTCCCTGTTCTTAAGCCCATCCCTTCCCTGCTGTTCCCTGCTCTTTACCCCTGTCGTCCGCCCGCTTGCTACTTCTTTCCCCTGAGCCGTCCCGAAGCCTCAACAAGCGACTTCGTGGTGTAGTTGGTTATCACGTGAGTCTAACACACTCAAGGCCCCCAGTTCGAGCCTGGGCGAAGTCACTCTTTTTTATTTTTTATTTTTATATTTTTACCCATTGCTTCTTTTTATTGCTGTGGAGGTCGATAAGACAAAGAGATAAAGAGATGATGTGATGGACAGATAGAGGGCGAGAGAGAGAGCCCTTGCTAGCGGTGGAGAAAGCGCAGAGATTGCGTGTCGAGGATCGTCACTTTGCAGCGAAATCTCTATCTGGACGGAGCAATCGCAAGCCCCTTTAAACCCATCTCATAACAGCTGCTCATATAGAGTGAGAGTGAGCAGGAGAAATGAAAAAAAAGAGGTTGATTTCTACTCCGTACTCCGTATTAGGCGTGTCATCTATGGATAAACGTGCAGAGTGAAAAGTTCGCTCTGGGTTCTCTGATAGGAACTGATCTTCGCCATGTGTGCGATTCCTGAGCGTTAACAAGGCGCTATTCTCTTAGATACGGAGCGAGCTGCGGCTGGCGAGCAAAATATAATAATAATAAAATATATGGCCCTGTCTGCTCCACCGCTCTCCTCCAAGAAGATGAAGGATTACGAGCAAAGACCAGCCGGATCCCATTATTCCTTTGACCTGGGGATTCTCTGGGGGATTCTCAGGACTCACAGCCAGTCCTCCGTACTTGTACTCTGTCCTCCGTAGTTCCCAAGTATCTGGCAATAGATAGATTGAGTGTAAGGCTGAAGCCTTTTGGCGATCAAACTGCTGTCGATGGCTGCATCTCATCCTGCACCTCTTGGAGCGGTCACACAGGCGGACTCGAACGGCGTCTCAAGATCCCCCCAGACAGTCCCCCCAGACAGGCCAACAGACAGGCCAGCAGCCGACCATCGACGGGACGGTCACTAAATATAAGCATGCAGGGCCCTTCTCCTGCTCCTCTCTGAGCATCTCGGAAGAGAACCAGCCGGCCACGCTGTCTGGTCGAGCTAACCAGGGCTCGAGAAGGCCGCTGTGGGTCAGGGGGCAAGCCAGGCGAAAGAGAGCGCGTACGGGAGGGTGAAGAAGAGCGGAGAGGCGGTTCCCCCTTTGCTGGCTCAGCGCCCTCTTGTGGCCCATTTTCCTCCTCCCCTGGATGGCGCTGTCATTGGCTGTATCTCGCGGTGGCGGTCCAGACGGTCCTCCCGTAGTTTGGTCGAACAGAGAGAGAGAGAGAGAGAGAGTAAGAAAAGGAAAAAAAAAAAAGGACCATCGACCAGTAACCAGCTGAACCAAGCAAACCCGCCGTCCCCTTGAATCTTGCGGTAGAAAAGAAGAAAAAAAAGTCTCTTTCTCCGTCGAATCTTGTCTTCGTCTTCGTCTTGGTCGTCTTTTTTCTTCGCTAAGCGTGTGTTTGTAACTCCTTATATTGCTCCCTGTCTCTCGTTAAAAGGAAAAAAGCCGACAGACTCCAACTCCCCCTCGCCCACCGCTGTGTCTCTCCATCGCTCAGCTCGTATCGCAATCCAAGACATCCTGGCCAAGCAGACGCAGCCCCCCGGGAAAAAAAGAAGAAGAAGCAGAGGACGCCTGCAGTGACACAGCGACGCAGAGAAACTCGACGGGGGCAGCAGAGCGGTTGCTGTTGTTGCTGGCGGAAAAAGAAAAACACGTCCATCTCCAAGTCCTGCAACTTCTGCTGTCTCTTTTATTCCCATTCCCTCTCCTCTGTGCACCCAGCAGGGCCCGACGGACTGACGAACAGGCTCGCCGTCGTTCTTCTGGAGCGAGTTGTTGGCCAGTCTCCATATCTCTCTGCGCTGCTGTCTCCACCGTGGAGAGAGAGAGAGAGAGAGAGAGAGAAAATATCTATAGCAAAAAGGTGCGTTGTGGCTACGCTGGCTTCTACGACGACTAACCGCCAACTTCAACCAATTCACAACCAGCCAACTCCCGCGCCAGGATGGCCCGATTGCTGACCTGAACCTGCGAAACAGGCCCCGCGGCTCGCTTCTCTGCTCTCCGGCTCTCGTCCATGCCTGAATCGTTCTCGTCCTCCTCAGAAACCCCAGCCAGCAGCTCCACGCACCACCGCCGGCGCTCCTCCTCGCATATCCGGCCCTTGAACCTGACCCCGTCCTCGTCTCTGTCCGCCAGCAAAGGTGCCAGCAGCAAAGCCCCGGGCCTCCTGTCTGCTCCCTCTCTCTCTCCTATCCCGGGCACCCCCTCGGTGACGGGCAACTCGCCCATGTCGCTGTCCAGATCTCCCTCTCCAAGGCCCGGCGGAGGTTGGTCCAGTCCAGGCCTGACCACCGTCACTGCTGGGAGCAGCGGCAGCTCCAGCCCGCGTCGTGGCTACGGCGAGCTCTCCGCCAATGGCCAGGCGTACTCGAATGGCGGCCTGGACGGTGACCACGGGCCCAACGCTTCCTGGATGGCCGCAAAGGCCAAAAGTGACCGCGTAAAGGGGTACCCTTCCTTTTCCACACGAAACAACGGCTTCTTCTCCAGGCAGCGGAGGAAGATCTCCGCCAGCCTGCCCCGGTTCAGACTCAACTCCATGCTAGACTACGGCGAGAAGGAGAAGCTCGGAAGGGGGCGATGGTCTGGTCCAAATGGTAGCCCGCTCCTCTACAGGATCAAAACACTGCTCGGCAGTCTCCTACGCCGCACGAGAATACGCCTTCTTCTATTATCCATTTTGTTGTTTATTCTATGGCTTTGCTTTTCATCACGTATGTCCTCTTCCCTTTTTTTTTTTTTTTTTTCCTTCTCCCGCTTATGGTACAATTTGATACTGACGTGCTGCAGCTATCTACGAATCATATCGACGGTCCTCCATAGGCGGAGGAAAGAAAATAGTATTAATTGTTGCGTCTAATGTCGGCGGCGGTGTTATGGAGTGGAAGGGTGCGCGCGAATGGGCCATCGAGAGAGACAGTCTCCGCAATAAGAAGAAATACGTCAAGAGATGGGGGTACGACCTCGAGATCGTTAACATGGTCACCAAGAAGCGATACGCCCACGAATGGAGAGAAGGCTGGGAGAAGGTCGATGTCATCCGTGGTGCGCTGCGGAAATATCCCAAAGCCGAATGGTACGTTCTACTGCTACCCATCATACACTCCGCTTTCTTAAAAAAAAAAAAATTTGCGTATTAACATTGGAATAGGTTCTGGTGGCTGGATCTAAATACCTTCATAATGGAACCCTCATACTCCGTCGAAAGCCACATTCTCAACGGTCTAGAGAAAAAGACTTACCGAGACATAAACAAATACAACCCCCTCAACATCACTCACCCCCCTTCCCTCCCCTACCTAGACCCTCTGTGTCTCTCACCCGAAGGCGACAAGAAAACATCATCAATCAACCTGATCGTGCCTCAGGACTGCTCTGGCTTCAACCTAGGCTCCTTCATGATCCGCCGCTCCACCTGGACAGACCGACTGCTCGACATCTGGTGGGACCCCGTCCTCTACGAACAGAAACACATGGAGTGGGAGCACAAAGAGCAAGACAGCCTCGAACATCTCTACACCCACCAGCCATGGGTCAGGCCGCACGTCGCCTTCATCCCACAGCGGAGAATGAACTCCTTCCCACCCGGTGCTTGCGGCGACGGCACAGATCCCGGAATCCACTACCAGCGCAAGGACAGGGATTTCCTAGTCAACATGGCTGGCTGCGAATGGGGTCGAGACTGCTGGTCCGAAATCTACAATTACAGGGAACTTAGCAACTATCTCAACAGAACGCTCTGGGAGAAGTTCAAGGACGCTCTAAGTGACCAGTGGAATAGAATGCTAGGTAAAGAAGTCAAGAAGAAGCCTTGAAATGACTTCTTCAACCTCTTTCTTCTGCCAGCTATCAATCCATGCTTCTCCCCTATTTCTTGTTCTATTTTTCTCTTGTTTAAAGTCATATATCTATTTATTGCAACGGCGCCCCTTTGTTAACTCTTCTTCCTCTTCCCTGTTCTTCTAATTTCTTCCATCCCATGCCGGTTCCTTTCCTTTTGAAAATATATCACTCTCGAAAGATTGTTTCTATATAATGTTTTCTCCTTGCCTTTTTTTTTCTTTCCTTTCTACGTTGAATGTCTTTGCTTCCAGTTCTCCAAGTATACACGGAAGAACCCCCCCTTTTTTACCCATTCCATTCCTTCTCTCTTCACGACAGTAGAATATCTCGTTCCTGTCCTGGGCTGCTGGTTCTGTTTCTTTCCTTTTTTTCCTTTTCTCTTTCTCGACTCGACTTGACTCTGCATCCCAGCCCTGAGCTCGCCTTGTGAACGTTCGCATTCTCATTTAGACCATCGCTACCTTCATACCAGTGTGCATATATGTCTTTTCGTGTGCTTCCGTTGGATCTCTCATCCTACCAACCAGCCGTTTTTTCTCTCTTCATTCCTCTTTTCCTCCACCTCCTATCTGTATTCGATTTCCTCTTTTGTTCTGCTCAACTGGAAAAGTACGATTCGTTTTCCTACAAGCGACGTGTCATGAGTCTTTTTCTGTGTATCTTGTCCTCTTTCGATCCTATGGGATACCTGTATTAACTATCTTAACATCTGCTTCTTCCTGGGCTCTTTTTCTTTCTTTCATTCTACCATTCTCCTTCCTCACTTCTTCTCGTCTCGATATATAAAAGTAACAAAACTTATTGAATATTAACATTGCTGATGTAAGCGCATCACGTGAGATAAACTTCTGACCAATAGGAAATTGGTATTTTTCTACGACTTCAACCTTTCGCCGACTTGCTTCGTTCAAAGATAAATGAAGAATCAAGATCAAGCACGTCAAATAGCTTCAGCTCTACCGCAACTACGGTACTGTGCCCGCCACTCGCCAGTCCAATTACTCTCCTTCTGAAACGAAATCACAATGCCAACCCCCGAGTCCGCTGCCTTCCTGGCAAAGAAGCCAACCGTCCCTCCAACATACGATGGCGTCGACTTCGAAGACACCGTCGCCCTACACAATGCCCGTGACGCTATAATTCGCGAACAATGGGTTCGCAGCATGATGTCCAGACTTGTCGGCGATGAATTGGGCAAATGCTACCGAAGAGAGGGCGTGAACCACCTGGAGAAGTGCGGAAAGCTCAGAGGTGAGGTCACCCAGTTATATCATCGGCGGAGGGTAATTCCAGGATGAAAGGAAAGGGAGCGTGGTGCTAACGTGTGGAATTGGGTAGATAAATACTTCGAACTTCTAGGGGAGAGGAAGGTCAAGGGATACTTGTTCCAGGAGAAGAACTACTTCGAGAAGCAGCAGTGAGTGGAAGGAGCTGGAGGGAATGAGCTGTGTGGCGATTTGGATGGGATATGAAGGTGTCCGTCTGAACCGTCTGGTTTCCCGTGGTTGGATTGAGTGGTTAGCCTGGCCGAGGTGTCTCTCTATTCTATCCGCCGGTACATGGGAATTTCAGACAAGGTGTTATGTGGCATGCGGCTAGATGTTGGGGCCACTTTCATGTATAGATATTTGCAAACTATTTCTTATATGCAGACATTAACTGATATCCTATCAAGTTTAAAAAAGAACAAGCTGTACACCATTATTATATGCATATGATTTCATCAAATATCAACCGTTGGATGTTAGCACTCCAGTAAAATTGCACGTTAATAGTAGCTCCGGGATGTTTCCTTGTCGTCCTCGCCTTCGCTACTTTCCACGTCTATGTTGTAATCAGGAGGCTCAATAGGTCCTCTTAACCGTTCGAGCTCAGCTGGCTCCAACATAGGTGGTACATATGGCCCTGGCGGCGTGTGTATATCCCTTCCGGAAGGTAGCTTAGAAGCGTATGAGCTTGGAGAAGGGATGGACTGGGTATTGACCTGTTCACCAAGATGTTTAGCAACGAGGATGGAAACATAAAAATACAAAGTATGAACCTACTGTATCGTTCATCTTCGTCCACTTCTTTTCAAGCATATCAATTACCCTTCCCTCTTCCTCCCTCCCGGCATCATCGCCGTAGTCAATGTCAGTCACGAGCTCCCCAGCTTTAGACGACGTCGCTACTTTCTCTATCTTCTTTTCCTCTCTCCGTTCCGACCACTCCCTCTTTAATCGCGAGAATCCACTTAATTTACCCTTAGACGACTGATCCGCGCCTGTCTCTGCTGTCAAGCCTTTGAACCCAAGCATATCCCGACCTGCCCTTAGCCAGGCAATTCCCTCTCCAACTTTTCCGGACATCTCAGCATCAATACCGAAGAATCGACAAGCTTTTGCTCTTGCTACTCTTGCCAGAATAGACATATAATTCACAAGACTGCTGTCTATTTTCCTCTCAGACCCGGCATCACCATGGCTAGCAGCTGATCCTTTACCCTTTTGTAGCATTACAGCGCTCGCTGCGGCCTGCTCAGCATACTCTGCCGCGCGAACGCAGAGGCGTGCAAAAAGGAGTGTCCGAACTTTGGGGATATCAGGAGATTTAATCATCCATTCTGTATCGTTCTTATTGCGTGACTGGATACAAGCTGACAGGAAAGCATCGTCCTTTAAAACAGCAAGTAAAGTTGCCTCGGCTAAGGCCAGTGACGATAGAGCAGATTGCATTGATGGGTCCAGGTCAGGAATTGGTATATGTACCATCTCGGCCCCAAGATCACCTGGAGTATATGTATTTGAAGGAGCCGAAATTGATACTGGGGAGAACGTGGCAAGGTAAGAATGTATACTGCTAGCCTGAAGTAAGTGTTTCGTCGCAGTTTGAATAGCCGTTGCCTTCTGCTCAACGGTAGGAGTGTTGGCCGAATACAAAGTGGTTAGATATTCAATTCGTGCAAGTGATGAATGGACGTAAGCCAGGGTCGACAAGACGAAGGCAATCTCGAAGTCCAAGCCACGGCCCTTTACTCGTGACGACGAAGAAGCGGAAGACGAATCGTTGCCCCGCATCGCAGCTTGGCGTAGCATTCGTATCGTAGACATGGAGCTCAAAGTTGGACGCCATTCGACCTCGATTTCAGCTCGAAGTAGGATGTCAATATCTTCGACGCCTTGCCATCTGCCCCCACCTTCTTCACCCCCTCCAGTAGCATCTTCCCGCCACGAGTTAGAGCTTAATCCCCGTGATATAGCAGATAAATAGGGAATATACTCGTTCAATGCTATTAGGACATGTGGGAGGTGAGAGGCCCGCTGGGCAGGGGAAAGGCGTTTATGCTTCTTGAGAGCAGCCCTCAAGCCATGGCGAGCGGTCGAACTCGCCTGCGGGAGGGACGGATGGGTATGTGAATGGATAAATGGGGAAAATTGAATGTGTGAAGTTGTTGGTAGAGTAAATAAAAGGACCATCCTTATGTTCGGTAAGATATTAGCTGTGTTAGCTGTGTTTACATGCAGCTGGATACAGTGTCCACAGATGGTACACCGGTGAAAGTGTGAGTGTGACCTATGAAGTCTGCCCCCACCGTGAGAAGAAACGCGTATCCCGGTTCTTCAACAGGCAGCGGAGTACGGCAAAGGCTCTCCTTGCAAATTCTCGAACCCGAGTGTCTTTCTCTTCTAGCTATCAAATTCCATTATTCCATTCGAGATGTTGAAGTATGAAACTTGAGGAACGTCGCGACTTTCCTTTTTTAGCGGAAGACTCGATTGGCTGGCGTCACATGATGTCATCGGGCGCCTGGAGTCATGTGACCGTTTCTTCAAGATGGCCCAAAAGGGGAAATAGGGAGGACGTTGATATTTGTTAATATACACAGGATTATGCACGGAAAGTGTTTGTATTGTCCATCGAGAGGTGTCTCGTGTGATTATTGAGGGTGTGATATTAAAAACAAATTATCCTAAGACCGTATTTCACCATGTTTGGTATCAAAAGCAGGGGGGGGAAAGCAACATAAAAACGAAATGGGTATTACATATTTGGTATCATAAACAACACTCACCCCCTGCCACCGATAGAGACCTTCTTCAGCTCCAAAGCCTGTTTCAAATTCTGTACACGTTTGCCAAGTTTAGCCTTCAAGATCGGATTGTTCATTTCCTCCCACCGGCGAGTCTCTGCCTGCACGTCGGCCTCGAGCTCGGCAATCTCCTCAAGCTGCTCTTGCAGTTGACGCTGCTGCTCAAGAGCATCTTGATCCAAGTCCTCATTGGCATCTTCAGCGGCAGACATTCCACTCTCATCTTCGTCCCCTGAAGATTCTACTGGCGGGTGCAGTGGGGTGTGAGGAGTTTGCGGAGTGCCTATCTCCAGCTCACCCTCAGCGTCAGGTTCGTGGCTATCTTCGCCGGCGTGGCTGACGTCTGGTGTTGCAGAAGCTGGCACTGACCCAGCATCTGCGTGCGCCGCAAGCTCTGCTTCCATCTCTGCAGCAAGGTCGTCATCCATTTCCATGGGTTCTTCGTACTGCTGTTCCTCGTATTGCTGACTTTCATCGAAGAATTCTCCTTCTGCATCCTGCTCGTCATCATACTCCTCGAAACCATCTTGCTCTGTTTGATTTTCACGTGCGTACTGGCTCTGGTCCATGATCTCGAAATCAGGTGGTTTGATGGCAGCCATATCTTCTTTCAATAGCCTGGCAACTTCGAGCTCCACTGCCTCAATAGTACGATTGCTGATGCGTTTGCGGAAGCGTCGCTTTCTCACCCACCGCAAGGGAGGTGTCAGACCATGTGCATATTGAAATGTCGCAGGGTCAACGTCCTTCGGCAAAGGGTAATGGTGGGCTTCTTCTTCCGTCTTGACCTTCCCAAGGACCAACAGCATCTGGCATATATCTGCAGCTTTGTACCAGCCTCTTTTATCCCAGCTTTTCAGTCCCTCTATTATAGCTGGCAGGTCAACCAACGTAGCAGCATAAATATTTCCTCGTATCGTAACGGTAGCTCTTCTTCCATCACGGGTAAGCGACTTGAAGCTAACATCCGCACCACCCAATGATCGAGGCCCAAAACGCTTTTCCTCGATAGCTTTTCGCAGATATTCACAATCATCTCCAGGCTCCATTCGTAAAATGAACTCTTCTTCCAGAGCAGGGTCTATCTCGGTATCAGAAGCTTCTGAATCATATCCCGAGCCTCTTGGTCTTACGGGAGGTGCGCCTTTATTTTTGATTCGCAGGGAGGTAGGTTGTTTGGGCTTTGTGGTGAGCTTGAATCGTTTGATAGGGGCTCCTTCAGCAGGCGCCGCAGCTCCTGAGGCCTTTCCATTCGTATCCGTGGCTGCATCCCGCGATCTCTTCTTAGAGGAACTGCTTGCTGGTGTTTCTTTTGGAGTCTTTGTGGAAGCTGCTTTCTTGGCCTTCGCTGGCGTTTGTTTCTGTTCGGGCTGCGGTGCTGGCTGCTTAAGACCAAGCTTCAGTTTCAGCTTTGGCGCTGCAGCTGGAGTCGAGGAAGCTGAGGGAGGCGGAGGAGTAGGGGATTTCTGGGACGGTTGCGGCGCTGCTTGCGATGATTGTGATGGCTGCGCCGCCTTCTTTCCGATGGTGAGCTTCAATATCTGCCGACCAGCCATTTTTGAGGTATCACTTGGGTCAGCCTGTAGTTATCGGAGGTCGTAGCATTCCTGGTAGCATCGCAAAGGAGGCCTTTCAAGCTTGCTCGGCGGGAGTTGATGGCTTAAATGTCTCGTGAAGCAGAAGTTTTGGAAGATGTCATTATTATTGATTGCGCCTGGAGAACAACACGGCTTAGTCAGCTCCCATTGTCGCTTTTTCTGCGATTCAAACAGCGAACGACAACAACAACTGAACAATAACTCAGCAATAACACAAGTGAGAATAAACCGGCCTGGGAGTGTCCTATTGAGCGGCTCTATTGACCGGTTAGCGTGTTTGCGATCAGAATCATTGGTTATCGGGGCCTATTTATGTCCTTCTCCCTACCATAGCTATAGGATGCGCTTCCTGGCTTGTTGGTAGAAGCTCCCTTGATCATCCTCATCCACCAGAACCAATCCTCAAGATGTCTACGCCGGACCTACATATCAGTTTGCTACGCCCTCCAGTCATTCAGATTCTTCGTGCTGCGGGATTCCATTCTACTCGACCGGCCGTGGTCGATACCCTGACTGACCTCGCCGGCCGGTACCTTCTGTTCCTTGCTTCATCTACTGCCCAGCATGCAATCAACAGTCACGCAGTGTGCCCTACACCAACGCTCGACGATATACTTATGGCTTTACAAGATGTTGGTGCCCTGCGGCCTCAGATGAGCAGGCTAGAAGAGGATCATCGCGGAGAAGAGGATATGAGAGCTCTTGAAGCGTTTCTGGCATGGTTCAGTGGACCTATGAATACTGAAATCAGACGTGTCTGTGGGTTTATCGCGGGTGAAGGAGAGGTAGTTGATGAAGATTCTTTAGAGAAAGAAGACTACCTAACTGGTATGTCTCTCCTAGCTATCATTATGCTCTGTTTATCCTAAACCTTTAGGCTAACTTGCTTTGGTTCTTATAGCGTTAAAAAAGAAACACAGCAAGACTGGCGAAGAATCAAGGTTTCAAGGAACAGTCCTTGGAAAAGACGCAAAGGAACGGCCCGTCATCATCGAAGGCGGTGCGGAATCAATAAAGGCCTGGAGGGCCCAAGTTAAATCTAGAGAACAAAGTTCGGAGCCGTCCTCGACAATTAGCAGCATTTCAAGCAACATATCGGTACCGGATGCTATGGATATCTGGACACCCGTTACTTGCGATGCATGGAGTAATACTCCACCTCATTCCACGGTCTGCTCTCAAATGAAGCACTGAGCAAGCCTTGACATATCTGCTGCGTCGATATTAAAAACATCCGCAGTGTCTACTCACACCATATAAGGGATGGACCGGCTTCCATAGGTGGGATCATATCAGTTATGAATATCCTTTTGGAGTTTACGAACCGCTTGGGTCCTGGCAATCGCTTTCCCGGCGCCGAACACCAATGACAAATGCTCAGCCTGTAGAAATTCAAGGCAAACCACACCCCTCATAATTCCCGAGGATCAGCGACGGAAGAAACTATGTGGGATTACAGTGTGTGCTTCCTCTTGTCCACAGTGACTTGGCCAAACTGCGCTATTTGCTAGGTCCATTTCCCTAAGCACCTCGACATATATTGTTGTCCCACCTTGCCATAACCTATGGTGATTCCATGGTACTCCTAAGCCCATTAGTATCGTACCTTGTGCCCGCTGAGCTGCCACTACCTTCTCCAAAAGCAGTCCCTAAAAGACGAGACTGGGTAATAGTCAACCTCATTGCTGGCTGCCTCGACCATGCTTTTGGTTATACAGCACCAGTTATCTCCATTTTAACGGATTTATATTGAAGGTTTATGTGCTGCGGTCTGCATGCCTCATTCAGGAAAAATCAGTCAATTATGAATTTTTGCGCAGACATTGTTTTGCATCACTTGATTAGATCAACGACATAAATCAACATCCAAGCCATTATTACAACTGGACTTCAAACCCATCTTGCCTCTATTGACATGCCAAGTTCCTGTCTTGTTTACATTTTCACTCCAATACATACCCCATAACCAACCCACAGAGTCGAGCAGTCATTCCTGATTCCAGGATTCCAAGACGAGAACTCATCAGGAGAAATTCCGTATTTCTCGATAACGCTCTGGCAGGTATCGCCTTCGGAAACGATATGCCACTCCTTGCAAATTGTAGTTGCTGCAGGCTGGATGGAATTTGGTAGGGATAGCGGCGTCAGATCTGGGTTTGAGCGCTCCAGACAGAGCTGAAGGAAGCCATCCTCCGATAGTTTGCTTGTAAATGTATCTTCCTTGCAGTTTTTCTCTATCCAGGGATTTAACGTGCGCAATTCTGAGAGGCTGAGGCCGGTATAGTCTGGTATTTTGGAGCAACTCAAGTATTCTATCGAGCTGTTAGCTGATTCTATTTCGCGTGAAAATCTTTGTCCTTTGATTTTGGTTGCATACTTTTGTCGGTTATACCCACTTCTAGATAACAGCTACATTCCCATTGCTGAATCGAAGGCGAAGGTATAAATCTCGAATTTGGTTCTGAGCAATACTCGTGGGGAAGAGTTGCTGGTTTCATATTAGCCTGCGTGACGGCTGCATTGCATGCACAAATCCATCTCAACTTACGTCTATCTTTCCAGCGTCTGGTGCAGTACCTGTACCCAGGTTTCAAGTAACAACCCTCCCCCCAGCGGAGACTCGGGTTCCAGGCGAGAAGTTCCTCGACTTTTACTTCTCCTTTTGCTGCCCACCACCAACATACGTTCAATGAGGCATCGCGGGCCGATTCTTCCTCATTTGCATTCTCATATCTATAGCAGCCCTCAATTGTTCCTGGGGCAAGGGGATTAGGGGTTGGAGGGGTTGGCAGTTTTCTCTCGGGACGTTTTAATGAACCATCTTCCCGATAGGGTATTGTACTTGTTGGGGAACTATTTCATAACATTTGTTAGCCTGTTTAGCCGAAGTATTAAAGAGCGTGGGCTCACCTTGTACAGAGATGCCACCCTCTCCATGAGTCGAGGTTGGTACAATTTGAGTTGATCATGGGGCTCCACTTCAAGAGTTCTTTCATGGTGATATTAAAATCCTCAACCAGGGAATTGCAGTCTTCCACCGATCCAAGTTGGTGTGTTTTGCAGTGCAAGGGAAGGCAAAGGTAATGGCTACGCCGAGGCAGATCATTACAAGCAAAATCCATGGCATTCTTCTGGATCAGATGGAAGGTGGATACACTATGTGAACCGGATAGATTTATACAGGTATCATTTGGCTGGGCTGTTATTTCTGTGTGGTCGCATGATCTGTCTGGAAAGGGGCCAGTCCAGTTGAGTGCATATTGGGCTGGTATGTCGTAGGTATACCCTTGGACACCGCAGCTTGATGTCAATGCGGAGAAAACTGCAGCATCCTCATCGTTCTAACCAAAAGGAGAAGAAAGTCGAATGTGTTGGATACCAAGCTCACACTCCGAACAAGCATGCGATGCTGAGCCATTCTTGTCATTAGCCCACTCTGCTATCATTGTTTGGCAATATTGACCGGATTTTCTATTTTGGCTATAAGCCCCTAACTTCTCAGTCATGATTATCCAGTGCCTTACCTATCTTTCAGGCAAGAGAGACGTGTTGCGTAAATGTAACGGTCAACAATGTATGTTGCTGTGCCAAAGGGGGGAACTTAGTAACCGTCATAAACGCCAGTTAGGTTATGAAATGATACCTGGATAAACCGCTCCCCAGGGGGGAACCATTTTATCATCAGCGCATGCCTCTTGAATCGAAGCCTGAAGAGATTCAAGATCTGCCAAGCAAGATGATTCGCACAACTTGTCAAGAGTATCATCATGGAGAAACTTCACTCTCGATGTTCTACAGGGTATGCTTTGTCAATTGACTGAGACGCCCTAGTTGATGCTGGAGTGGACTCACAAGAAACCTGCATGTTCGGGAAGAAAATCAGGGCAAGAAGGAACTGTGATGTTAACTACTTCAAAACATCTGTCGCTCAATCCTAACACATCGTGGGATACTGTATAATTTTGTATTTGCTGGCCAAACACGAAATCTGAGAGCCACAGTGTGACCACTCCTAGTGGTAAAAGGGAGGAAGGCAAAATGAAGGGCATTGTGATGGTTAACCAAACAACTCGCTACATGCCCATGTAGAATGGTGATTGCTTGTATATATATATCTTGCAAGGGCAGAATTTTACAGGAAGACCCTCTTCTCGGCCACTCCGGATGTCAAGACAGATGACAGGCACATGGTAACTATCATTAGGGGGCAGAGTTCATAATTTCAACCAGGGACCGAGACGGTGGTAGCGAATTCGTTAGTTATCTAGACATCCATGTCCTATAGCAAGTTAACTAATGACATCCTTTACCTTTATGGAATGCATTTATAGGACTCCTTGAATTCGGTCTTCATCATTGGTTCCATCTCTCTCCCATGAGTTGAGTTGGCTGACTCCCTTGACTGGGAGAAAAACCACTCTCTCGACGCGAATGACATAAGGATATCGTGTACTCCTTAAAAGGGCTCAGTATGAAAGAGTCCTCACGGCGCTTTTTATGCAAGGGGAAGCGCCTGGACCTGGGCTTGGCGGTGGGTCCGGATGCGGGCCGGCGGGGCTTTTAGTAGAACTCTATTGTGCGCTAGTAACTCTAAGTAGTTTTTGTTTGTTTGTTGGTTGAACTATTTATAGTTCGTTCTCGTCGGGATTAATTCGAAAAGCTCTGAAATTTGAACTGCTGTTTGAGGCTATCTTGTGACCAGTATGGTCGAGGCACGCAAGGTAGAATACATATAAAATAATCTTCTAGGCTTACTACTGAATCTTTTCTGCATTATGTATAGTACATATTCTAGTCTCTTCACTCAGCTGTTGGCATCGTAGTCGTACTGAAGTAGTGATCAAGTAAGGCCTGACCAAGGATGGAATTATTCAACATTTGTGCGCTTACGCCAGTAGCCCGGAAATTCATCTTTGGTCCATGGGTACCATATATTAGGCGGCCGCCGATATTCGTCATACCACTCGTGCGTCTCCATCATCATATTGTAATTCTCGACAATTTCCACAACCGAAGTATACATCCAGCCAACGTCCTCGTCACTTTCTTCTGTTTCGCCATCCTCCCATCCTGAATATACTGTATAGTGTCTATCCTCTGGTTTCCGCGCGCCAAAGTTTTTGGCCAGTATCTTTACGACCGGCGTTGTCATATGCTCCATAGACTCCAGGCAGATGTCATCAACGAAAAGGCAGAAGTTGTACCGACTGCCCATGAGCCATTCTGGACCTGGATCCTCCTTGTAGGGATCTCGTAGCTCCTTGATTTCAGACTCGGAGGGCGCAGTAATCATCTTGGGCACTACGGTATCAGCAACCCACATAGTGAAGTGATCACGGATATCATGCGACGTGGCGCCTTCGAATCTAGCCTTATCATCCATGATGATCATCTCATGGAAAGGAAGCAGATCCATCCGTTTGTATGTTTTGAGCGATTTTTCAACTCTTTCGTGCAGGATATTAAGCATTTTCTGCCATGCTTCTTCGTCGCTGTATGAAGTTCGATAGACCACCCAGCCCCAGGGAAAATGACTCTGTAGCTGCCACCTGACGATATTGCTGGGGTCATCGATTCGTCTTAGACGGCCGCATTTTTCAAATGTTGGGCCAGTTATTCGACGAAACTGCGAACCAATCAGCCCTGGAACACGACTAGAGAATCCATGTGCGGAGAGACAAGACGTATTGAAAAAGACGCCTTTCGCAGCTTGATGGATGGTACTTCTCAAAAACATTGAAACAACAACTGTCAAACGCGGCTGGGAATTTTGTCTTGGTGGAAGGTATCCGAGGAGCGAAGGAAGCTGAACAGTTATGGGGTTTCGAGGCAAGGACGGGTGTGAGTATCCCCTATATATACCTAGTGACCCCGTCGACTATATCGCGCGTGGGTATATGTCTGGTTATGGTTGATTTTTTCACCAAGTTAGATACCTAGTTATCAACTCGTTAGCGGGCTGTCCCTTTTTGGATAACTGGTCCGCGATGTGATCCCTGTCAGGATCAAAATTCTATTTTCAAGTAGTTAGCCAATTTGTCCGCGGATTAATTGATAGTTAGTTAATTGTGAGTTATGTGCAAGCATTATGATGTATGGGCGGCTTGCAGAAGAACGGTCTACCCTGACGATATGACCGTTCCAATTAACTAGTTACTACCGGTAACAAGTATCTTCATGATTTGAGTTAGTCGACTAGTTATAACTCTTTGTTAGTGGACAAAAAGTTAAGGTCAGGGATAACCATAGCAACGAGCGACATAACTAGTTAGTCTAACTAATTAACTAGTCAACTCCGTCCTCTGTACTCCGTAACTTGACAACTTCAAAAAACAAACAGCATACTTTGCACGGCTTTCATTCCTTCGACACTTGATATCATATGGATAAATAATACCCAACACATATCACTGACAACAATGGGTCTGTTGGATCTCCCTCCTGAACTCTGCGATGAAATATTCAATCAGATAATCCTTACCTCAGGCCGTGATGCATCCTCAGTTAGACTTGTTAGCAGTACGTACATATCTATATCTCGATCCTCACTACCCGAAGCTTAGATTACTGACAATTTGTCACTTCTTGGTATATTTGGTATATTCTAGAATTATTTAACTGTGGAATTGTTCGGGCTTATGCGAATGTGAGGGTGATGAAAGCTTTCTTTGATAATATGGGTTGCTGGCCGCCTCGCAATACGGTATTTTATACCTACGCAAAGCTCAGTATTCTCCGGGAGGAAAGTAATTCGACATATGCGATCCGTACTATAAGGGAAACGGTGAAGGCCCTACTCCAGGCGGAAAAGACGACCTCTCATGAGCTAAAGGCTGAGAAAACCCTCCTCCTGGTCAAGGCGGCATGCAGTGCCGTTACAACCTTGACCATTAGCAAGGCCTTCTCAGGGTATTGTCCATGGTCGAAAGGATACCGCTGTACGACACAGACACCCAAGTCACTCATCCACGTTCTTTCTGCAGCAGTTCATGATGACAATATCCGGCTAGTCGCCGAGCTGTTGAAACAGGGTGTGTCTTGCAATCAGTCCAGCCAGGTATTTGGGACACCGCTTTGCATTGCGGCATCTAGAAGGAACAGAAAGATGATCAACCTCCTACTCAAGTTCCATGCGGACCCATCATACTTCTATCGACTTCATGATCGGTCACATCCGCGGACTCCGCTCCAAGCAGCTGCTTTTGCAGGCCATGAAGAGATCGTGGACCTCCTCCTTCAGCCAAACCTAGGTGTACAAAGGTCTGGCGACAGATTCTATAGAGCCCTGGTATTTGCCGCCAGAGGTGGTCACTTCAATACCTTTAAGCAGCTCGTGGACGCCGCAGCTCCGCAGGTCGATCCTTTGTTTCAGTGGGCAGATTGCCTCATGGCTGCCTGTGAATCTGGATCAATATATCTTGTACGCTTCATACTATTTAAAGGCGGCGATATAGAATGCATGAGACGTTTTGAAACACCTTTAATATGTGTGGCCAGGAAAGGGTACCACGATATAGCCCGTGTGCTTCTGGAGGCAGGAGCAGATCCGGATTATGATTCACAGCATCAGTCGGCTATAACTATGGCATCTAAATACGGCCATCTGGAGGTGGTACGTGTCCTCCTACAATTTGGAGCCTATGTCGATGCAAAATTCGGGTCCATACAAAATGCAGCAGCGGGGGGTCATAAAGATATCATTCAGCTGCTTCTTGATCATGGAGCTCAGGTTTCTGGAAGAGAGCCAGATCGATGGCGCCAAACTGGACAGCAAATAGGTCAATGGGCGTATAGAAAGGCAATAAGTAATGGTCATTATTCGCTGGCCTCCTGGTTACTGACTCTTGGAGTAGATATGGACAATCATGTTGATACTGTGTATGAATGGAGTAGTTGCGATGAGACTCCAATTATAACTAGTGATGATGAAGAATCGCTAGAAGGAGGGAGGGTGTCAGAAGATACCTAAATACACTAAAGGAAAAAAGGGAGGTAATAACAAGATTGGGTTAGAATGAGAAATCGGAACATATATATAAAAAGAAAGGAAAATAAAAGGAGAAGTCTAAAGTGACCTGCAGCTTTGGACTTGGAGTTAATCAATTAGTTAAACCTGAAGTTTCATCCGCTAAGTAAGCTTCCGCCCAAGTTCTAGGAGGAGTTTGTGTGGTCCAAAGGCATGTATCTTCTTAAGCCCAAGTCCTTCCATATCGTTGTGATGGTCTGCAAGCATGTGGATTACTCCTTTAACATTCACAGTTCCAGCTAGAGCAACAAATGCATCATTTAGCTCTCTGTTACTGGCATCGAGCTTAAATTCTGCGCGCTTGTTGGGATTTTGGTTCGTCAATTCGATGGCTTTCTTCACTGTCGCAACCGTTCCCGGGTTAATGACATTGTTCCGGATAACCCAGCGAAGGTTCTTCGCATCGTCTCCAGCATGTTT